AGATTCCCAGATGGCAGACTACAGGTTGAAAACCACTGATCTACAGATACCATTTGGATAATCCTCCTAAGATTTTCATTTTCAGCTAAACTTGAACACCATCCAAATGGTAGTGTAAGACCAAGAAATTCATGAGCACCTTTTTTATTTGAGATTTGTCATATATCTAGACTGAGTGAATAATGATATAATGCCTATAAACAAATAAAAATTAAAAATAATTTAAAAGCTGAAACTGTATAGTGTTTAAAAGGTTCTGCAGATATTGACTTTACAGAAATACAAGGAAAGAGGGAGGTAAAAAAGATAGCTGAGCTTCTTCAGTTTCAAATAAGGTTAACTTAGGAATCAAATTAAACTTTCTAATATATACTTCTAATGTTTTCCTCAATTTCTCATTATTTTCTATAGGACCATGGCAATAGTCGAAGTATTGCATTTAATCCTTACAGCAAGACCTCCATAAGTTAATATTTTCTGTCTCCAAAATAGTTGTTCTTTTCAAGATGTTAATTTACTAAAACCAAACATGTTCTCACTATATTTCTTAAAAACAGTGAATCAGTTAGTAATGAGTTATTTTTTAAATTAAGCTTTTTTTCCTAAAGCTTAGGTTTTAGTTCCCTAAAAACCTAGAGTGTAGGGCTTCTTACCTGCTGTCAAACTGTCCGTCTATCCCCTATCTCCCTTCCCTCAGAAAAATAAATAAAAATAATTCTATCCCTTATCATTAAAAACAGTTATTCTTTTTTAAATGTTACCTGGACCCGGAAATGGCAAAGTCTGAATTTCAAAGTCATATCAGATACGTGAGCAGAATTCTGCTCTGAAGGGTCTACATAACAAGTTACAGCATTAATAGGAAGCGCACTACAGTGTGCTTTCCAGCAATCTGGAAAAATGCCTAAACCTTTCACAAGTATTTTCTTTCTCCTTTACAGCTTTTACCTTCTCTCTCTCACCACACTCTAACAAGGCGCTCAAGCATGCTGCCAACTTCAAGCACATTAAGTACTCCCTCTACAGTACGTGCATACACTATTTTCAAATATAGCATCACACATACACATGGTTGAACCTGGACCTATGTCTGGAAAGGTGATTCCTGTTCAAGGAGCTCTCCATTCCTGTCTTCAGCCTGATTTCAGAAAAATACTCTTATTTAGGAAAGACTTTTAATCATATGCTTGAGCTTCATTCAAAACAATGAGAAAGATGTGTACAAGTGCCTAACTCTCAGAATACTAAAGCATGTGCTCCACTGTTTAAAATAATTATGAAAAAACTAATTTAATAATTTCGCTCTTTTTTTATTCTTTCTATTCTATTAATTCTACTTGCCAATTCTTCTTGTATCTTTTGTCTGCTGCAAATGCTTTAACAGACTGCAGCAACGATGCTTATAATACTCTTTGTCCTTCATTGTCAACGTACATTTTTAGCTTTCTTCTGCTTATTTTGCCTCATATATTCAAGCTGGACCAGACTTGCTTTTATCAGTCTTGTCCCTTGCAATTTTTGCTACACTCTGCAGCTCTAGTCAGTTACAGTGGTTTCTTTGTCTTTCCATCAATTGAGATGTAAAAAGGGTAATTTAGGAAGGTGGGAGGATATGAAGTGGGAAGTGAGGATGAGGAAATCTTCTTCAGAAAGTTTTCCCTGTTTTTTACCTTGTCATGCAGCCTTATATAAAAGCAGCCTCCCCTGGCCATGGCAGGCCAGCCTACTTTCTCCCCAGCATACTATGGATTCCTTTCAACAAAACAATAAAGCTCTTGCTTAATTTTAAGTGCATGCATAAATTTTATTATCTTCAATAATCACAGTTTAAAGATAAGCATAAACTGACGTGCTTTGCCAAGTAAGAATGAACTTACAATTGTTCTTAATGTTCTTCATTGCATCTTGCCCTAAAGATTGGCCATACCAGTCTTCCATGCTGCTGGAAAGCATTCAAGACTTTTGGTACTGTGTATTATCTCTCCGTGTCATCTAGTCTGATGTCTCCATACCCATTTCTTGTTCACTAAGGAAAAGACTAAGGTTCTGCCTTTGAGTCTGATCCCTGGGTGCCCCTGTCACTAAATCTTAGCTCAGCACAGCTGAACTGCAACTCTTTCAACAGCTGATCATATGTGAATATCCTCAAAAGCAACGTAAGCCTCTGGTTTGAACCCACTTAATTATTTATTTTTAAGTCGTGTGTTTGTTTTTAGAACAAAGGTGCTGGGCTATTCAAAATGTAATGTAGAAGCCTTTGAACCCTTTTAGCCTCCATTTTCTAGAAGAGTATAAAATAACAAGGCTACAGACGTGATATTCACTGAATTCCTACCAAGTAACATCTCCTCAGTATAAAATCCTAAACTGTGGTTAATAAAGATAAGGTTTCGAAGTCCCAGGGAGATCTCCGTACACTTGAGACACTGGGAGAAGGAGGGTAGAGGGCTGGGACCACTGTCATTCATGTGGAAGTAGAGCTAAGTCAGTGCTGGATGCTAATAGAAATTCTGCCTACAGTAACCAGTAGCATTTTGTGTGTCATTATCACTACCTTCACAATTCACTATGATGACC